GTTCGCAGCCCAATTTGTAACTACTATGCTACTAGAGCTCTTTTGTTGTTGTTGTTGTTGTTATGCGCCGTGGACTAGAGCTCTTTTGTTGTTGTTGTTTTTGTTATGCGCCGTGGAGTCGGTTCCGACTCATAGTGACCCTACACGGGGTTTCCGAGGCTGTAAATCTTTACGGGAGCAGACCGCCTCATCTTTCTCCCGCGGAACCGCTGGTAGTTTCGAACTGTTGGCCTTGCGGCTCGCAGCCCGATTCGTAACCACTACGCTACCAGAGCTCTTTTAGCACTGCCAATAAATGCCTTAAGTGTTCCTTTCCGTGGGATGGGAAGCCTACTGCTCTGTCGTATGCTGGTATGTTGGTGCTGGCTTGATGCCGCCGGTTTCTCTACCATGTCTCCGGTGTCACAGCTTTCTATGTCCTGGATAAAGGCGTTTCAGCATGCAGGGGGATACCAGGGTCCAAAGGATACGACCCAGACCCACTCCTGTTCTTCATTCTTGATGATAGTGAGATCCCCCTTTCTGCTTCTGAGACGGCTCATTTTAAACCCACTGGGATGGCAAATTGGCCAATCTCCTGACTGGATTTCCATATACCTTACTCGCGTGGTCCTGGTATGGCGCTGCAGAATAATGCGCTGGGCCGTAAAGTTCAGTTTGAATCGCAAAGCCGGCAACATTTAACAATCAACAATGACCCAATCATTTATTTGGTAAGTTACAAAGACTGTATGTAGCTAGAAGAATCATATCAGGTAATTCACTGTACCATATTTCTCAACAACAAAAGAAATTTTAAAAAAGGAAATAGAAAAGAAATCCCATTTGAGCCCTTCCCTGACCAAAATCTTTCACTGACTTTTCATTTGCCCTAAGACAGAGTCCAGCAGGAGAAAGATGTAATGGTCAGCTTCCGTAAAGATTGGCAGCTTTGGAAACCCTGTGAGGTAGTTCTACTCTGTCCTACAGGGTCACTCTGAGTAGGGGTTTGGTTTTTCCCAATCCATGACCTCAACTCTAGTCAAGTTGGTCTACTACACCAAACACCCCCATATAGTCATTGCTGTGCAGTCTGTAAATTGCATTGAGACAGCTGTGGAGGGGTGGGTCACATTCTAGACCACATTCTACTAGACAAGTCCACATGGAACTGCATGGAACTGGCTAAGAAGAAGGGAGGTTTTTTTGTTTTGGGGTGTGTGTGATATTCATCTGCCCAAAGGGGTGACTTCTTATATACTTCCACAAAAGCAATCCTTCCCTTCGCTTCACACCATTCCCATCGGCTTTTAATGGCCACCTTATTACTCAAAACTTCTGTCTAGTAAGATTGAGCTTCCTCATAAAACCTTCCTAAGCCTAGTAGAGTAATGGTTACCAATCAACTGCTAACCTCAGGGTCAGCAGTTCGAAACTATCTGCTGTTCCGCGGGAGAAAGATGAGGCTTTCTATAAAGATTTACAGCCTCAGAAACCCCGTACAGGGTCGCTATGAGTCTGAATCGACTCCAAACACAAAACAACAATAATAAGAAGCCACTGTAATTCCACAGCACAATCTCCCCTCTTAAATTCATACCACTCAGTCATAGCACTCTGGTGTTGTGTGGTGTATTTAATTTGCATTCTTTAGCTTTAAAGGAACGCTGGTAGCAGAGTGGGCTAAGCCATCAGCGTTGGGCTGTTAACTGCAAGGACAGCAGTGTGAACCCACCAGCCGCTCCATGGGAGAAAAATGAGGCTTTCTGCTCCTGCAAAGATCAGCAAGCCTCTCGGAAACCCTATACAGGGTTGCTATGAGTTGAAACTGACTTGAAAACATTTAAAAACAACAATTAAGCTTCATGTGATTATGTTCTAAACCCCAACTAGCTTGTGAGCTCATTGAAGACAGAGCAACATACTGTATTTTTAGATCCCTCCAAAGTACACATAATAGTGTTATGTACACAGCATGTGACCAGTAAACATCTCTAACATAAATCATGTGTACAAATATGCAAACATCCTAGGCAGGAATCAGCCTCAGGGAAGTTGACAGGTATAGTAATCCAGCAGGAAGGAAAGACAGCTTCAGCAATCAGATGTAAAGGCTAGGATGGCGTCCCAGATTTCTGTCTGGAAATCCAGCACTTCAAAGGCAGAAATTTGAGACTTGAATATTTCATGGTTTTTGTTTGTTTTTTTCGGAATGAGAGTTGTCTCTACCAGCCATGTCTATTGAATTGTATTTGAATTTTAAAAGTGTTTTTATTTTTCAATCTATGTATGATTGTTGGTAAATTTATAGCTTGTTATGTATGTTGTTGTTATGTGCCGTGGAGTTGGTTCCCATTCATAGTGACAGGGTTTCTGAGGCTGACTACTCTTTATTGTTGTCATGCAATCAAGAAACCAGAATAAAGGTCTGGGCAGACCACAAAGAGCACAACAAGGTCTTGAATTTTAGCTTCTTTTCTCTGTTTCTCAGGAGCCCTGATTGCACAGGAGTTAAAACACTTGGCTGCCAACCAAAAAGTTGATGGTTCAAACCTACCAGCTACTTCACAAGAGAAAGATGTGGCAGTCTGCTTCTGTAGATTGTTGTTAAATGCTGTTGAGTCAGTTCTGACTCATAGTGAGGGACCCTGTATAGGGTTTCAGAGGAGTGGCTGGTGGGTTTGAACTGATGACCTTGTGGTTCAAAATGACCTTGTAGTCCAGTGCTTATCCTACAGAGCCACACCAGGACCTTGGAATTCCTATGGGATTGCTCTACTCTGCCCAGTAAGTTGCTTTGGGTCTAAATCAAATGATGTTGTTGTTGTGAAGTGCTGTCAAGTCAATTCTGACCCACAGCGACCCTGTATAGGGTTTCCGAAGAGTGGCTGGTGAGCTTGAACTGCCGACCTTGCAGCTCAAACAGCTTTGTAGTCTACCACATTAACCCATTGTGCCACACCAGGACTGAATCAACTGATTGTTGTTGTTGTTGTTATGTGCCATCGAGTCGGTTCCGACCCATAGCGATCCTGTACAGGGTTTCCGCGGGGTGTAAATCTTTACGGGAGTAGAAAGCCTCATCTTTCTCCCGCGGAGCAGCTGGTAGTTTCGAACCGCTGACCTTAAGGTTCGCAGCCCGATTCGTAACCACTACGCTACATAGCAGCAGTTTTTTGTCTGTGTGTGGTTTTTATCCCTCTGCTGTTAGATACCATGGAAATGAACTTCATTGCCAGCCCAAGGTTTCCAGATTCAAGCTACTATTGTTAGGGACCAGCATCTTTCATTACCCTATCCAGTACCTAATGACATGGGTTTTGTATTCATTCATCAGTGTGGGTATATAATCAGCTTGATTATCAGATTGCCTTGTATTTCCCTTTGACAGCTAAGGGACAGTGCACTGCAGCATTAGCAACTGATGCTCTGAGTAAGATATTTGCTGAGAAATCATTTTGGGAACTATTCTTCAGTGCCTTTTTCAGAGCATTGCAACAGCCACCGAGTTTCTTCCCACCCCCATCTGGTTTTGACTTGACCTTCAAAACTGTCAAGGGCACATGGAGTCCACTGCCTGTTCTAGAAGATTTCCACTGGTCGGATCACTTTTCCCCTCTGCGGCCGCCTGGCTGACTGACCTCCTCCTCAGTGAGGTTGCATCTTTACATGATCTGCTGAGTTTCCAACTGCCCTTCAAGTAATTGATTGCTGCTTTAGGAATAACAAAGCCTAGGGCCTTGATTTTTATTATTTTAGGATCTGAGATTCTCCTTTTTAAAGTGAGCGTGCACTCCTGCAAATATTTTGACCAGAGGTAGGAAGAAGGCTTTGAATTTGGCAAGCCAATTCAGGAGAAGCAAAAAATGAACAATATTCAGTGTAATCTAGATGTTTGGTTTCAATTTCTTTTCTGCAAAGGACCTCGTTTAGTCTATGAGTAAAACTCAATTATGTGTATTTTGTGTCACCTTCTCAAATTTGAATACCTTATCGTCTACCATAGCTACAGCCGGGATGTTCTAATCTCCTGGCTCTCTTTTCCTCACCAGGTCAGTTTCTTTTCCTTCAAAATATGTTTTCTCTTTCTGAGAGCCTAGGCGAAGGAAAGGATAAGCTTAAGAACTGAGGCGGACCCTCTATGGAAACAGCAACGAGATAAGAATAAGAAGCAGGCTTGGCGGCTGCATTGCAATGTGATTGGAATGAGTAATGGTTTTTCGCTCTGCACAGCATCTTCCTCAACCCACCAAACGGGAGATCTGTCTTCCCTGCCGCATGGTGATATTACGACACATTAGAGAAATTCATAAAGCACCTTGCGGAGTGGGCCTACTTGACAGAATGATTTGATTTTCACTTTTCAGGAAGGTGGAAATGCATCAAACAAAAGACATCAGCTCTAGAATTTACGGGAAAGATATATCCCATCTAATGGAAGCCAAAAGAAACTTCTCTCATTAAAAATACATAAATCTGCCAACCCTAAAACATTTACCTAAATAGACACACACTAAAAAAAAAAACCCACTACCATCCATTCAATTCGGATTCCCAGAGACCCTACAGAAAACAGCAAAGGGCTCCTTCACAGAGGTGGGCGGAACTTGGTTCATGACCACGCCCCTTGCTTCTGGCTCCCAGTGGCGCGCCCCACCCTGGCCGCTCAGGCCAGGCGCAGCGTGAGGCCACTTTTGGTCCGCCTTCTTTGCAGGAGCGCGGAGGGGGAGTAGAGGGAGGGGACCGTTTTTGCGCCTGCGCCCTGAGCCTCTGGACGTCTCTATTCGGTCGTCTTCCTCCCCCGCCTCACGGTCGAGAGCCCTTTGTGCGCCTGCGCGTTCCCCCTCCAGCCCTACCGCTCCTCTCGGCTGAGTCAGTCAGTCAGTCAGTCAGTCGGCGTCTGCTCTCGGAACAGGAGTGAAACGACTTAGGCGCTTCAGCTGCCCGATTATTTGATATCCCCTCCCTCTCTCCCGCCCCACATCTCTCTTCACCCCTCTCCCGCCCTTGCTTGCGCAGCCATGGCGGAGTCGTCGGCGGCCACTCAGTCTCCGTCTATCTCCTCGTCGTCCTCCGGGGCCGAGCCCTCTGCGCCCGGCGGCGGCGGCGGGAGCCCGGGAGCCTGCCCCGCCCTGGGGGCGAAGAGCTGCGGCTCCTCCTGTGCGGGTGAGGAGAGCTCGGGGAGCCCTCGCCCTCGGAAGGGGAGGGCGAGCGGGGCCAGGGGCTCAGAGCCGAGGGATTCAGGGGGCGAAAAATCAGCCTCGGCTACGGAGGGACTGGGCCCCCGGGGGATGGGCGTATGAAAAAGGGGCAGAGGGGGAGGGGAAAGGTCGAGCAATCAGTGAGGAAATAACGGGGTGTGAGGAAAACAGGTTGGGGGCGGGGAGGTCTTCCAGAGAGTGGGCGTTAACGCCCAGCCGCGGCTTCGGGGGGAATAAGCCGTTCGGGGAGGGTGGGATTCAGTGGGCAATTGCTAGAAGCCTACGAAGAGTCCATTTCGGGGAGCCGAAAGCGCAGTCCTCGCAACAGGGTTGACTTAGTGGAGGAGGATTAGAGAGACTGAAGATACAAAGAGCCTTGGGGCAGCTTGTGACGATTTTCGGGGGATGGTGGTGGAAGGGTTGCTTTGCAGATTGGCAGACAGGTGTTTACACCATCAGGCATTCGGGCTAGCCTTCAATTGTGTTTTTCAGTTGCCTATGGGGGGAGCATGAGGAAGTTGAATCTGTTTCTCTGTTTTCATCTGCCTTTCCATGTTGGTGGCATGACCGATTTCTTTCGAGGCTCCGAGGTGTAAAAGAGGAAGATTTGGGGGGTGGTGAGGGACTAAGATGGATCCGAGGCCGCATCTGCAGCACCGCCTGCTCTTTACTGGCGCGGCGTGGGGGTGGAAGCCTGCAACCAGTCGTTTCGATTATATTCTAGAAGGTCAGAAAAAGAGGGAGCCAGTGCTAAGCCATCCAATAGGTTTTGATTTCGTATTTTCCATGGGCTCGTTTTGGGTCGCAGTGTAACAAAAGGGGGCGTTTGCGGCAGAAAGGGGGAGGGGGAGAAAATTCAGACAAAGCAGGAGTTGGTTGAACCCCTTCTCCTCCCATCTCCTGAGCAAGGCCAAGAGGGAAGCTTCAGGCCACCGGCTGGTGGGAGCTGGCTGGCAGACTCACCTCCAGCAGAGATCTGCAGTGCAGATGCCTTCAATCCTGGGGGAGTGTGTGTGTGTGTGTGGGGGATATCGGGCACAGGCAGGTGGTGGTTCGCAAAGGAACTGAGTCTTTGAATTAAAAAAAAATGCAAAACCAAAACGTTTCGTTAAAGGAAGGCCCATAAGCTCTAATTAGAGATTATTTTGCTCTTTGGGTTTAAAGATTTAAAAGAGATTCGGTCTCCTTGGCCAGAATCTTGGGTTAATGGTTCTAAAGAACATAAACTTTCTGATCTGAGCTCTAAATATGTTCCCTATGTGCAAATAGACTTCCACCTGTTTAAATGCTTTGGCGCCTTGTTGGATTTCCCGATGTGGTATGGTCCATATGAAACAGCCTGGATCAGAAAGGAAGCTGCTGCAGGTCCGGATTAGATGTCCAAGGAACGAGGCAGCAAATTTGGAATCCTATTTTCTTTTTAAATCAATAGCCCCTTTCCTCCAAATCTGTACGTTCTGGACAAAAATCTAGATGAATAGCAGCGCTATTCATAACTCAGTAACTTGGTGTGTTGGCTTTAATCGCTTGTCACTGCCTACTGATTGGTCCTTTTTGTGTTGTTTTTTTTTAAGTATTTGATTTGGATTTGTTTTTAGGAATTGGCTCTTAATACTCAAGATACGATCAATGTTCCATGATGAGGAGTCATTCTAGTTAGCAGGCATTATGGTGTTTGCAGCCAAATGGTGAAATCATTTGAGAAAAAAAAGCTTATTTTTTTCTCCTGAATGCACTGCTGTGGTGGAGTCCTGGTGTGGCGCTGTAGAATAACCACGGAACTGCTTACCATAAATAATATCAGCAGTTCAAGCCCCTCAGAAACCCTATATAGGGTCCATATGAGCCCAAACTGACTCAACGATCCAATTATGAAGAATTGGATCCCTTAATAGTCCAATAAAATCATAATATGTTGTTCACAGACACACATACTCCCGGCAAACTCTGAATTGGAAATACATATTTAGTGGTTTATCGGTTTGGTTTATATGTCGGATCATCATTTACACTTGTCACAGGTTTTATATAGGAGCCCTGCTGATGTAGTGGTTAAATACTTGACTGCTAACCAGAAGATATGGTAGTTTGCTTTCATAAACATTTATAGTCCTTTTCTATAGGGTCACTACAAGTAGAAAGGGCGCAGTGGGTTTTGTTTAGGGTTAGTGACAATGTTTATTATTACTTTACCTTGCTTGTTTTGTTTTGCAGTTTCTCATGGTAGAAATTATACTATAATTATGTGCTTTACAGAAAATAGTCACATTGGTGTTTTAAAGTATTGTCCCAAATACATCGATTTTTCACATTTGCCCAATATTATTAAATGCGTCAGTGTTTACCCATTATTTCGTAGTAAAATTTTACTGTAGACTTTTCATTTCTTCAGTCTTTTTTTTTTTAATTCTGTAGGTCCTTTGATTGTCTCATTGGACACTGAGTACCTGGTAGAATAGTACTTTCCAAGTATTTTGTTAAATGATCATCAAACTTAGGTGCTGGAAAGTAACATTTGGAAAATGAGCTAGATAGGTACTCTCTCAATCTTCAACTCTTAGGCAATGCAGACCCAGTGCAAGATCGCTTTTGTTGCCTCCCTCCTGGGACATAAAGTTGACCTTAAGATGCAGCATGACATAGTCAATTTCTTGCAGAACCGCTTACCTGCAAAATGGTGTCTGTTTATTTCTGGCAAGATGTCTCAGGCTTCTGCATCTTGAAAATAAGATGACGCCTACAATTCCAAGATTTAACTCACTTAAAGCAACTGCTAAAAAGTCTGCCAGTTGTTGATGCCAGCCTTCAGCTTCGTGTCTTTTGACCCAAGCCCTTTTTGGTTTTAGACTGTCATGTTCTTCTCACTAAGCCCCAATTGGTTTCAGAGTCTTTTAAAACAAAAAAATAAGTGGTTGGTTGGAAACAATTTTGCCTTAACTGACCTGTGCAGCAAAGAATTTTAGAGATTTAGTTCACATATACAGAAGATGAGAAGGAGCTCTGGTAGTGTAGTAGTTATGAGTAGGGCAGCTAACCTCAAGGTCACCAGTTCGGACCTACCGGTCTTGGAAGCCCTATACAGGGTCACTATGAGTTGGACCCAACTCCACAGCCAACCGCCCCACCCCCACCCCCCACACAGGATGAGTACTTGTACTCTGATGCAGATGTGTATATACCATCAGCAATGGTATATACTGGTAGCGTAGTGGTTACGAATCAGGCTGCGAACCGGAAGGTCAGCAGTTCGAAACTACCAGCTGCTCCGCGGGAGACAGATGCGGCCTTCTGCTCCCGTAAAGATTTACAGCCTCGGAAACCCTATTCAGGGTCGCTATGGGTCGAAACCGACTCGACGGCAGTTAACAACAACAATGGTATATACATAAAAGAAGGGGGTCAGGGACCAGGAAGGCTTCCCAGATTAGACAGTACTGTCTTTTTTGTTGTAGTTTCGCTTTCTGAATGAGTGTTGTCTCTATTAGTCGAGTATAGATACATGTCTGCTGAATTATTTGAGTTTTTAAAGTGCCTATATAGGGTTTCCAAGGCTGTAAATCTCTATAAAGCAGAAACTGCTGACCTTGCTTAAGGGAGCACCTTACAACTTGCCATAGGCGAGTATTGTTGTCATGAAATGATGATACCAGGATAAAGCTATATTTCTTGTATTTGTTCAGGAAACTTCAGAGCAGAAACAGCTTTGAAAATTATTATTTTTTCTTCTTTAATACCTCTTTTTTTACTCATGAAACTAAGTGCTGTGTACTTTTTGTGGCTTTTTCATTACTTTCTAGCATGTCAGTCCCTTGTATATACAAGGGGGCTTTAGAAAGCTCATGGGGAAATTGAAAGGTAATGGAATTTTTCCGCAAATATTTAGGCACTCCCTCATAATTTGCATTTGCAGCCTGAATCCTTAAATAAAAAGGAATCTGACCACCTGTTCAACATTGAAATGGTCTGTGTATGTTATGCTTCTTTCATGTTATCAGTGGTCGAATAGCATGACGGCAGCAGCCTGGACTTGAGCCCCAGAGACACCTACATTTTAATCCTGGCATGCTCAGTCATTATGTGACATTGTACAAGTGAAGCCAGAAGAGCCTCAATATTTATTTAGCTTCAAAATCAGAATGGTAATAGTACCTACCTTTAAATTGATGTGAAGATTAAACAGGTAAGGGCTTAGCAACGGGCCTTGCCAGTAGTAAGCGTTTAGTAAATAATATTATCATTAATGTGAAAAATTAAAATATAGATCCATATGTGACTTAGACAGATTCGCTATGTGTCTTTAAGTCCTGTTATTGAATAGTGCTTTATATTTGATACATCGATACGTCTGTGCCAGGTATATGGATTAAGTTGAACTACAAGTGAGAAATCACAGTCTTTCTGGCAATAAAGGGAGATTCAGATGCCCAGTTCTTCTTCCACTTAGTGAGTCAATTGTTTGCACTTGTGACCCCTTCACATTAATGTCTTAAGGTTACCACGCTTCCCACTCAGCTGGTCTATTAAAGAGGTAGGGAAAGAACCAGGATGCTTCAGAGATGGCTTGTATGACTTTCATATGCTTCAGTATTTCCTGCTGCATTCTGAATAAATATTATTATGGAACATTATATAACTACTCTCAATGGAGGCAAGAGTACAGGAGACAGCAGCAGTGGGCATGGCAGAGGGTGTATGAGCAACCCTTGAATTTGGGTGTTTTTCATTCTTTGGGAATACAGACTTCATTTTGGTGCTGTTTTCTTTTGGAGTCAGATTCACAAGTAACTTAGTCACTGTGATCACGTTAAATAATCAGTCTGCGTATATTTTACAGACACAGTTTAGTCCAACAGTGAAGTCTTCTAGAAGGTGCTGGTTAAGAGTGTCAGTGGTTCCATTTTTAATATTTTAGAGATGATCTGAAAACAAACTCAGGTTATTGCTTTTATTGCACTCTGCCAGTGA